ACACACACACACACATGATATAACATGAAATTTCAGAAATAATAAAAGATAAAACATTAAATCCAACAGTTACTGCCATTGATTTTTATTGTTAAGCATGTTTTGATAAGAACTGCTGTTTTTAAAATATTGGAAAAAAATATTTTGACGACTTCTGCATCACTTCTGCTCTGCAGGTATTTTACTTTACCGGTATTTTAATTCAATTGAGTTTATTTATACAGATCTAGTGCAAAGTCACAACAGAAGTTGTCTCAGGGCACTGCAGAGAAAACATTCACATACATAAAAAGTCAGTATATAGTATATAGTCCTGATGCATGCTCAATAATCCAGGTATAAAAATCTAAAAAAGTTCAATCTGGTCCTCTGGACATTCAAAAAACAAAACAAAGTTTTGTTTTTTTGAACGTCCAGAGGACCAGATTGAACTTTTTAGATCAGTTAATAGTGTTATTTATCTAAGGAGCCAGCAGATTTTAAACAGGAAATCTTATCTATGTCTATCTATGTCTATCTTGGGGGGGGTGTTTTCGTGACTCAGTGGTGTACAGTAAGTACCACATTGGTCAATAGGGTAACTTCTGGTCACATGGCAACAAAATGGGGGATTATGGGTATTTAGTAGCAAAATTGGAACCATGAGCAAGAGATTTCTGTGAAGAGTATTTATGGCATTAACTCTGTCTTTATCACAAAAGCTCACCCCCAATAAGGGTGGGTATTGGGCAGCTATATGAGCACCCAGGTGTGTCAAAAGAAAATGGTATTTAGCAGCAAGAAGCTCAACAGCCTGTCAAAATAAAATATAAAAATAAAACAAAATAGTGTTTTTAAAAAAATACATAAATTAACTGCTCCTATACATATACTGCAGGGTCCAAAGCATGAGAAAAAAGTACTGGCTTATACACTGGCAATTGTAGTAAAATAAAAGTGTCCCTCAGTAATGACCCTGTGGCTCTCCTAGGGGTTGTTCTCCACAGTTTGAAAACCACTGAAATGCAGATCTTTTATATTCATGTGGTTTGAATCTATCTGTAGAAAACGGATCATGAAACGTTAAAGGAAGAAATTCAGCTGATTTATTTCTGTTTGTCCAGGTGGGCATTAATGAGACAGGACTCCAGACGGCTCTTCTGAGCTGGGCTCAGGAACGCCACCCTGCAGGTATGCCACCTGACACACCAAACCAGGATTTGTTCAAACGCAGGAAGTGTGGTTTTATTCAAACAATGAGCTAAAACATTAAGACCACTGACGGGAGGAGCGACATTACCTGGTTACCATGGCAGCAAACAGTGGGTGGGGTTAATTATTTTAGTATTTATGATTAAAAAGCCTCTTTTCTGCTCCTGCAGCTGGAGCTTGTAAAGCTGTCGAACAGGAGGAAGACGTCCCCAAAGCGCCGTCGTCTTCGTCTCCCCCTCCATCGTTTCCCAGCACCTCCATCATACAAACCCCAAGCCCGACACAGTCCCCCAGGACCCCTGTCACCCCATCGGCTCCTGTGCCCGTGGACGGACCAGGAAGTTCCGAATGTGTGGTCTGCATGGAAACTGAGGTGAGTTTACCTCGTGCTTATCAAAATATTATTATTATTAATCTGTTTGTATAAAATTGAACAGGTTTAACCAACATACTATATCTGTGATCCATGAAACAACTCGCAACTCCAAGATTAAATGATTTTTTAAATTTACATTAAAGGGTGTCTTTCTGGGCAGCACGGTGGCACAACCAGCTGTTCACATGGTCAACTGCAGCTGGTTTTGGTTGTCAGCAGCAAAACTGGTTGATTCACTCTGAGAAGGTGCTGTTTATAAGACTGAGCTGAATACAGCACCTCAGACTGAAGAAGTCTTTCAGATGAAAGACGAAACATTTCTACTTTTTTTTTTTTTTTGCTTTGTTTTGTTTTTTGAATATCCAGAGGACCAGATTTAACTTTTTTAAATTTTTCTACCTGGCTTATTGAGCATGCATCAGGAAAATCTGACTTGACTTAAGCCTCGAGTCCACTTGGGTTTGGACTTCCTGTAGAAGGTTCTGATCAGGTTCTGTTTTTGTTTTCAGACCCAGATCATCTTCCTGCCGTGCGGTCATGTCTGCAGCTGTCAGGTTTGCAGCAATGCTCTGCAGAAATGTCCGCTGTGCCGCAGCTACATTACTCAGCGCATCCGGCTCTATCTGAACTAGATCGGACCTGACCGGACCTGACCGGACTCGCTTCCTCCTGTATTCATGCATGACCCTGAAGCTGCTGTGAGCGAACATTGTAAATGAAGCTTTGAAGGCTTCATGTATTATTAAAACCCTGTCCTGATGTTTCTGTCTCTCTGTTGTTTTTAATCCAACACATTTTCTTTGTTTTCATTAATAAACATCACACTCGTGCTGTTAGCTTCTAAAGCTCATTATTTCTCCTTCAAAGAAAGGTAGTAACGTTTATAAAATCAATATTTGTATGCTTTGAAAGTTCTGAAACTTTATAAACACACGAGTAAAAAGGCAGCTGATGAAAAGCATCATACATTTAGATTTTCAGATGTTTTAAAAGCTTGTTCATTTTTAAATATTAATGTTTTTAGTTTATAAAGCTAATAAAATGTAATTAGTTTGAGACCCATTGCCTGGTCACATGAAGCACCTTTTATTTATTGCCTTCTAAATGTCGGCGAGTTTGTTACGTAGCTGTTCCTATGGTACCTGAATGCAGCACGGACACCCTTTAAAACTTTTAAATCGTTTGTTTTTTTTTGTCACACAATGTAAAAAAATCATCTGGTTTTTGGTTTTAAAACTGCAGAGAATGCATATCACCCGCTGCCTTCAATAACAAAGCTTTGAACACACCCCTCATGTGATATGTCAGGGATGACTCTCAGCTACTACCACGCCAAACCAACTCAGTATCTGTAAATTTAGCAGAGTTATAGACATTTTTGTGTTCCCAAGGTCGATCAGCTGTGGCTGCCATCTTGAACAGTGTTGACTCCAGCAACTTCCTGAGTTTAATTGAAATTTGTCCAGTGGTTCATGGGATATTTTGCTAACAGACAGTTACTGCCCATCTTTGGTGGAGAAAATTTTGAAAACTGCATAAAAACTGAAATATCTTAATTTTTGTTTGATTTAGCTCATTTTTAAGATGTGGTAAACCCCCATGCTTACTGTTTATATCCAGTGTTTAGCTGTGACTGGAGCTGTTCTGTCAAAGTGCTCTTAACTCTTCGGTGTCTGTTGGAAACAGTCTGTATATAACGGTGACTGTAATACTCACATTTACTGCGATGAGACAATAAAAGACTGTATTTATGTCGGTGTCAGCATCTTCTTTTAATGAAAAGATACACAGATAAAACAAACCATGACAAACTCCACCGTGTTTTACTGAAGGAACTCACTGATGAGCATCTCGCATGATAATTTTGAGCTCACTTCTCAAGAGTTTCAGTATCTGGGTGTCTTGGTCCTGAGTGATGGAGCGGGAGGTGGATCCACGGATCAGGGGCTCGTCCTCAGTTATGAGGGTGTTGCTTCAGTCAGTTGTAGTGAATAAAGAGTTTAATCTGAAGGCAAAGCTCAAGATTTACTGGTTTGTCCATGTTCCAAACATCTCCTGTGGTCATGAGGTTTGGATCAGGCTTATCTGCGGTCGGGTCGCGGGGGGTAGCAGCCTAAGTAGGGAGGCCCAGACTTCCCTCTCCCCAGCCACTTGGGCCAGTTCTTCCGGGGGAATCCCGAGGCGTTCCCAGGCCAGAGAAACATAGTCCCTCCAGCGTGTCCTGGGTCTTCCTCTGGGCCTCCTCCCGGTGGTGAGGTGTTCCGGACACGTTCCACCTTTATTTAGAGTTGGATAAATCACACTGAGCCTCGAAGACTCATTTATAAGTGAGATCTGTTTAGACAGACAAAAAGTAAAGTAGTGAAACTGGACACGTAGGAATTGGAGGCAAAAAAAAAGCTTCCTTGTAAGGTGTGTGTGTGTGTGTGTGTAGGGGGGGGGGGGGGGTCAGTCTCAGAGATGGGGTGAGGAGCTCTGTCATCAGGGGGAACTGCTGCTCCTCTGCATCAAAAGGAGTAAACTGAGGAGGTTCATCTGATCAGTACTCCTCCTTTTGGAGGTTTTCTGGGCACTTCCCTCTGCGTAGACCCAGAACTTTCTGCAGGGATTATAGATCCTCTCTGGTCCGGGAACACCTCGGGGTCCCCCAGGAGGAGCTGAGGAGTGTCTCTGGAAAGAATGAGGTCTGGGTTTGACTGCTGGACCTGCTGCTGCTGTTATCCAACCACAGATGAGCGGTGGAAGATGGAGGCTGATGTTTCTATCAAACATGCTGGTTCGTTCTGGTCCAAACCGTCGCTTTTCTCACCGTTTTCCCCTCAAAACACAAAGATGTGCTCAGTTGAAGACACTTTTTTAAAAACCTAATTTTTCATCTGCTAAGATCTTTTTTCATGCCTGAATCTCTTCCTCTCTTGCCTGCTGAGAAAAAAAAAAAACATTCATCTGTACCTCATCAAGTTGTCTGTTCTGTTTCCGTATGAGTGGCTCACACCTTGAGTTTTGGAACCTTTTTCTGTCCTGTGAGGTCAAAGGTAAATGGTAAATGGAATGGACTGTACTTATATAGTGCCTTTCTATCTTATTTCAAGACACTCAAAGTTCTTTACAACAATCTGTGCCCTCATTTACCCATTCATACAGCTCTATACTAGATCTCTACAAAGATAATTGAACAAATCATTCTAAAGAGACTAACCAGAGCTTTAGATCACATTCATACACTGATGGGACACACATCAGAGGCTATGAGGGGTTCAGTGTCTTGCCCAGGGACACTTCAGCATGTGACTGCTGGTGGATTCGAACCCCCAACTCTCGCATTGGAGGACGACTGCTCTAACCACTTAGCCACAGCCGCCCCAGGTCAAAATCTTCCTCTGAAATGGTTCAGCTACAAAGACTGAAACCTTTTATAAGCATACAGACAGATATGGGAATTGGTGTTTTAAAATCCAGATCAGTAAATTGTGAAATAAAACAAGTTACAGTATATAGAAAAGATGAACATTGAAAATACGCATCTACAGAAATATAAGTTCATGAAAAGTTGACATCAAAATCTTATAAAGATTAACATTGTTATATATTTGATTTAGTGGGAGCTGTTTAAAATGTATTTTGTTATGTAACCCTGGTTAGAGTTATGCACAAAACAACATTGTTGCATGATTTATCTCCTGTTTTGTGGAATCAAACCAAAAGTTCTATTTTCTGGAAAAGGAGTCAGAAATTGTTGACATTATCGGTTTCATTGAGAAACCACCTAAGGGGTTCCTACTATCATCTGTGTCAGATGAGGCAATTTTAAAAATGTCACTAGAACCTGATTTATATTTGGTCAGTTTTTGTCCTGTTCAGCTCTGAATTGTCAAAAATAATAACCTCATCCAAACCATCCACATGCCTGCTAGATCCCATCCCAACCAGACTGTTTGAAGAGGTATTCCCCCTAATTAATAACCAAGTCTTGGATCTGCTTAATTTGTCTCTGATAAATTGTTATGTACCACAGAGCTTTAAGATTTCTGTAATTAAACCTTTACTTAAGATGCCTGATCATGATTCAGAAATCCTAACCAATTATAGACCTATATCTAACCTAACCAGCCGGTCAAAGCAGATGGCCGCTTGTCCTGAGTCTGGTTTTGCTGGAGGTTTCTTCCTGTTAAAAGGGAGTTTTTCCTTTCCACTGTCTCCACTGTGCTTGCTCAGGATGGGAGACTGCAACGAAGCCAAGATTCAACTTGTCTGCTGGATTCCTCCCCTCCCTGGGCTGCCACCTTACCGTGGTGGAGGGGTTTGAGTGTCCCAATGATCCTAGGAGCTATGCTGTCAGGGGCTTTATGCCCCTAGTAGGGTCACCCATGGCAGACAGGTCCTAGGTGAGGGACCAGACAAAGTGCAGCCCAAAAACCCCTTTGATGAGAAAAATAAATGGACCTAATGTTCCCTTGCCCGGACGTGGGTCACCGGGGCCCCACTCTGGAGCCAGGCCTGGAGGTGGGGCACGCGGGCGAGCGCCTGGTGGCCGGGCTTTTACCCATGGAGCTCGGCCGGGCACAGCCCGAAGAGGAGACGTGGGTCCCCCTTCCCATGGGCTCACCACTTGTGGGAGGGGCCAAAGGGGTCGGGTGCAATGTGGGATGGGTGGTGGCCGAGGGCGGGGACCCTGGCGGTCTGATCCTCAGCTACAGAAGCTGGCTATTGGGACGTGGAATGTCACCTCACTGGTGGGGAAGGAGCCTGAGCTGGTGTGTGAGGCTGAGAGGTTCCGGCTAGAAATAGTCGGACTCACCTCTATGCATGGCTCTGGCTCTGGAACCAGTTTCCTTGAGAGGGGCTGGACACTCTTCCACTCTGGAGTTGCCCCTGGTGAGAGGCGCCGAGCAGGCGTGGGCGTACTTATTGCCCCCCAACTTGGTGCCTGTGTGTTGGGGTTCACCTCGGTGAATGAGAGGGTGGCCTCCCTCCGCCTACGTGTGGGGGGACGGGTTCTGGCTGTCGTTTGTGCTTATGCACCAAACGGCAGTTCGGATTATCCACCCTTTCTGGAGTCCTTGGAGGGGGTACTGGAAAGTGCACCTTCTGGGGACTCCCTTGTTCTGCTGGGGGACTTCAATGCTCATGTGGGCAATGACAGTGAGACCTGGAGGGGTGTGGTTGGGAGGAACGGCCCCCCTGATCTGAACCAGAGTGGCGTTCTGTTGTTGGACTTCTGTGCTCGTCATGGATTGTCAATAACGAACACCTTGTTCAAGCATAAGGGTGTCCATATGTGCTCTTGGCACCAGGACACCCTAGGCCGCAGTTCGATGATCGACTTTGTCATCGTCTCATCTGATCTGCGGCCACATATCTTGGACACTCGGGTGAAGAGAGGGGCGGAGCTATCAACTGATCACTACCTGGTGGTAAGTTGGCTCCGATGGTGGGGGAGGATGCCGGTCAGACCTGGCAGACCCAAACGTATTGTGAGGGTTTGCTGGGAACATCTGGCAGAGTCTCCTGTGAGACGGAGTTTCAACTCCCACCTCCGGGAGAACTTTGAACATGTTCCGAGGGAGGTGGGGGACATTGAGTCTGAGTGGACCATGTTTCGTGCCTCTATTGTCGAGGCGGCTTACCAGAGCTGCGGCCGCAAGGTTGTCGGTGCCTGTCGCGGCGGCAACCCTCGAACCCGATGGTGGACACCGTCGGTGAGGGATGCTGTCAGGCTGAAGAAGGAGTCCTATCGGGCCTTTTTGGCCTGTG